TGATGCACTTCAGGTAACGGTCCAGCTCCAAGCGCAGGAAGAAGAAGAAGAAGAGCAAGAAGAGCAGGAGCAAGAGGATGAAGAAGAGCAAGAGCAAGAGCAAGAGGGAGAGGAGGAGGAGGAGCAGGAGGGGGAGGAGCAGGAGGAGCAGGAGGAGCAGGAGGAGGAGGAGGAGGAGGAGGAGGCACAACAACAACAACAACAACAACAACAACAACAACAACAACAACAACAACAACAACAACAACAACAACAACAACAACAACAACAACAACAACAACAGCAGCAGCAGCAGCAAACGAGCAGTGCCATTGCGGCTGGCTTGTCGAGCGATGAATTTTCGCAACGCGTTCAGCACCACAACGCCAGCGGTGACGACGATGCTGGTGGTGATGTGTTGGATGAGGAGTTTCATGATGCGCTTGATGCGATGCACGATGCCAGTGAGCCCGCTGCTGATGCCGGTAACGACGGGGATGGTGGTGGTGACGGCGATGATGATGGGGATGGTGATGGTGCTGCTGATGATGACGCTGATGATGACGCTGATGATGATGATGGGGATGGGGATGACATAACAGCACAACAACCGACAGCACAAGCCTCGACGACGCAGGAAGCGGCAGCACAAGAAGCAACGACGCAACCCGGACAAAGTGCTAACGGCGATGAGCAGAGCGGTGCTGCGCCTGACACAGACAGCAGCGGCCGTCCAGTTGTTGACGACCACGATGACATTGACGTTGACACGTTCGATGCAGCAGCCGATGCGCCACCACACGACAAGAACGCGCCCGCTCCGAGCCGCCCCATCGTTATCCGCGCTGCCTCGATGCCTTCCATCAACCCAACAGGTCTGCAGAACCGTGTGGAGAGGGTGCACGTATGAGTGTGAATGGGCGTTGGGAATGAATGAGAGACTGTTTGGTTGTTTGGTTGTTTGTTTGGTTGTTTAGTTGTTTGTTTCTTGTTTGTGTGTGTGTGTGGATGTTATGAATGTGCGTACATGTGTGTGTGTTCATATGCACATGTTCGCAGCGGTCAAGGCTGCCTGCTTCTGCTATGTTGTTCGTTCAATTCTTTGTGTCCCGCGTGCTGACTCCACCGCCATGCCACTGCATTGCTGCATGACATTGCTGCATGATCTGTTCTTCAGCGGTTCAACACGAGCTCATTCTTGCGAACAAGCCCGACATTCCGCCGCAGCGCGATGACGGTGAGTTGTCCATGGCAGAGACGACGGAAGAGATGTGCACATGCTTGGCTGCTGCTGCTGGGCCACATTGTATGCTCTGCTTCACGACGAACTTTGCAATGTGTGTGCACACGCACGCATCCACGCACATTCACGCACACGCACACGCATACACGCACGCATGCACACGCACGCGTGTGCACAAACCCTCTAACACACTCACATACACGCTGACGCACTCACGTCCTCGCACTCTCCCCCACGCACATACACTGCGCACCAAACTGCGATCAGAAACGGAAGAAGAAAAGAATTACCGAAAGCGGATGTTGATTGTTGGGGAAATTGTCAGCACGGAGGAAAGGTGGGCGACACAACCCAACAGTGTCTTCGTTCACAATACGCGGCACAACCATGTTATGTTCTCCTTTCTTGTTTGGTTCTTCCACCCCATGCACACGTCACGCGACAACCTCACGCTGTCTGCTACTTGCTGTCTGCTGTCTGCGCATCTCTGTTGCATCTCTGTCACTCACACCTACTCGCTCTTCATCGTTTCGTCCATGCATGCGGCTCACGATCCGTGTCGCTGCACGGTTTGAACATCTCTCGCTCGCTCGTGTACAGCTTTGTGACCACGCTGCACATGCTGAACGACGTCTTCATCAAGCCGCTGCAGGACCGCGCAGACGCACACGCGGACGGGGACGGCCCGCACGTCACGCACAAGCAGATCAACGCCATGTTCCCCGAGGTGCAGCCGCTGATCAAGGTGAACACCATACTGCTGCGGCGCCTGCAGGACCGCTACCAGCACTGGCACCCGGCCCAGAAGATTGGAGGTGCGTCCCCCTGCCCAACGACCTCTTGTTGATGAATTGAGTCGAGCACAGTCCGTGATGGTGCTGATGGTCGTGATGGGTGGGAGATGATGGTGGTGATATGAGGAGGGACGTTGATGCGTTGTGGAGGAGAGGGCGTTTGGTCGCTGCCGTGTGATGCCGTTGCAGTTGCTTCGGCATGCTTCTCGCATTGCATCCAAACCTAGCAAAGGAACTGACCGCCCACCGCGCATGCACACGTGTGTGCATTGATGCCCTGCTTTGCGTGCGACGTGTGCGATGTGTCCAGACGTGTTTTGCCAGGTGCTGCCGTACCTGAACCACTTCAACATGTATGCGAGCAGCTTTGATGCCGCTCTCTCCACCGTCGCCGCCTGCAAGGAACAGCCCTCCTTCCGCGACTTTCTCCTGTGCGCCCATCCACCTGTTACTGTTTGTGTTGTGCTGTGCTGCGTATGTGTGTGCGTGCGTGCTGTGCTGCGTGTGTGTATATGTGTGCGTGCGTGTGACTGATGTGAACTCCTTGCATCTGATAGCTTGTTCCTGTATCGCATTGTGATAGGCGAGCAATGTTGTGTTGTGTTGCTTCCCACCACCCTGAATACCATCACACGTGCTGACACACATACACACACACACACACACATACATGCACACACACACTCTCACACACTCACACTCACAACCATCACCACGATGCATGGGCACGAGAGCAGGCAGTGCCGGCAGGACCCGCGGTGCGAGAAGTTGTGGCTTGAGGACCACCTGATCACGCCCGTGCAGCGCGTTCCACGCTATCGCCTCCTCCTCGCGGACCTCCTCAGCAAGACCCCGGCCTCTCACCCCGACCACGACCACATTGCACTGGTAGCACTCTGCCTCACTGCACTTGCTTGTGTGTGTGTGTGTGTGTGTGTGTGTGTGTGTGTGTGTGTGTGTCTGTGTGTGTGTGTGTGTCTGTGTGTGTGTGTGTCTGTGTGTGTGTGTGTCTGTTAGATCAAATGGTGGTTGCGGCCTCTTGGCGTTCAGCACAGCGACACACTTGACCTTTCTTCTCCAACCCTCATCTTCATTCACCTTCGCCCTTCATTCACCACTACCACCACCATCATCATCGTCGTCCTCGTCCTCGTCACCTCAACAGGCGTTGCGGCAAGTGGAAGAGCTTGCCTCAAACATTAACATGAAGAAGAAGCAGTTTGAGTCGAGGTGAGCGCTCCTTGGTGTTCCTTTCCCTTCACCGTCTCCTCATTCATTCATGCAGACACCACTCACGCTTCCACCTACCTCCTACCACTGCCGACGCTGACGCCACGTTTGGCTCACCTGCACTGCACTGCATTGCGCATCAACACGCCACCAACCGGCAGCGTGGCCATTGTCGAGATCCAGCAGAAGGTGAAGCACTGCCCGGAGATTGTGCAGCCATCCCGTCGCCTCGTCACGCAGCTTGAAGGCACCGAGTTCATTCGCGCAGACCTGCAGGGTAACGATGTTGTGACCACCACCTGTTCTCGCATGCCGCCGCTGTTCTTGTGTTGCGTTAGGTCGTGTTATATTGCGTTTGTGTACACGCGTAAACGCACGTGCACACATGTGGCGCTGGTGTGCACGTCGAGTGGTTGCGCGTTGCGCTGCACCAGTTCTACACATGCTGTTTGTTTCTGTCCACTGCTGGCGTGAAGTCCTGCTCTTCCTCCGTCTCCTCACACACACGTACACACACACACACACACACACACACACATTGCCATCTCGCAGACCCAACCACAACGGCAGAAACACCAACAAGCCTCGTTCCTGTACGTTCACACTTGGTACCCATGCACTGTGTCCAGCACTGGTTCCCGTATGTATATTAGTCACTGTTGCCAACTGCATGCACTTGCTGTCATCTTTGACAATGTATGTTCACACTCACATGAATGCTCTCTCTCACTCTCTCACACACAAATGCACACCAACACACATCCGTGCACAGCATCGATCTGTTGTGATTTATCTGTTCAACAACATGCTTCTGTTGGCAACGCACGAGCGCGTGGAGAGTCTCTTCGGAAGGTGCGCCGGCATCCCGTGTGCATAGTGCATGTTGCAGAGTGCATGGCGTGTTCGTGTGTGTGGTGCTTGCATCTTTCCACTGCTTATCGTGCTCCTGCTGCTGCGATTGTTGTTGCTTGTCCGCTCTGCAAAGGTTACACACAACGATGAAGAATTACTGGCAGAACAACGACTAGTAAGTGGCGTGAGTGTGTTGTCTGATTCCATGCTTTTCACTTTAGTGATGTTGCCACGCTGTCAGAATCGCTTGCCAAACCAAACACACGTAGACGGCCACGAAGTACAAATACATCAACACTTGCATTCGCTCACCTTCTGTGCACGTGTTTGTTGTGATGGTGATAGCATGCAGCCGATGACTGAGGAGAACGGCAAGCGCGTCGTGCACAAGTTCAAGTACATTGACTCTTCAGATCTGCTGGGCGCAGTGGTGCGTACACATGGCGGTGCAGGCAGAATTGGATACGGTGGCAACTTGCAGCACCGGCTCTTGCCTCCCTCGGTTGTCTGTTTCCTCGTGCCTGCGATGGCTTCGTGCATGTGTCCATGTTTGTTCATATGCGTCTGCTATGTACACGTGCTTACGCGTGTGCCTCTCTCTCTCTCTCTGTCCCCATGTGCCAGGTGGGCGACTATGAGGACGATCCGCCGCTGTGCAACGCCGATGGTGAGAGTTGTGGGCTGACCGTCTTCCTGCCAGGAAAGGAGTTCTTTGTTCTCGCAGCGACACCGCGCGATCGCGACACGTAAGCACAACCGCCACGCGGGCAGCAACTAACCTGGGGGAGCGGGGGGCGGGGCGGGTGAGAGGGAATGATAGTGATGATTGTGAGCAAGTGGGCTTGCGTACAGACGAACTGACACACACACACACATACACACATACACACACACACACACACACACACACACACACACACACACACACACACACACACACACACACACACGTTGCACAGGTTCAAAGCAGCGTTCTTGGAGGCGAAGCAGACACACGCGAGCGACACGTCGCACCTGCCAGCAGAGCGGTTCACGGGCGGAGATGCCGGGTGGCAGCCGCACACGCCGCAGCCACACACGCAGCAGACGCGCAGTCGCACACGGCGGGCACGGCGCAAGAGCAAAGGGACGCGACGCGGCAAGCAGGCCGGTGCAGGCGATATGCAGCAGACGCAGAGGGGGAAGAGCAAGAAGAAGGCAACTGCTGCCACTGCTGCTGTTGCCACTGCAGCAGCGACGGGTGCGGATATGGGCGGCGATGCGGCTGCACCGAAGCTGTGCTTGGATGGGGTGTACGAGCTTGCATCGGAGACCGTTGTTGACGACGAAACGGGCCAGGGATCTGTGCGGCCGCTCGCCCTCAACCACAACAACACAGACGACACAGATGCATGATCCCACTTTTGTGCGCGTGTGTATGCGTGTGTATGCGTGTGTATGCGTGTGTGCGTGTGTGTATTTGTCAATAGTCACAAACGTTGATGTACTTGGTGTGCCTTCCATGATTCTTGCTCAACCCATATCCTATGTGACCTGAACTGACAGTGAGTGGGCTGTGTGCGGGTTTTAATGTCACTGCGCGGTTACTTGGTGACTTGTTTACTCATGTGTATAGTGAGTGGGTGCGCACTCATGTCAAATTGAGTGCACCAGAACAAAACGCAAAACCCATGCATGGACCAAATGTCAACGGCACTGACGCGGCCAAACAACAACAACAACAACAACAACAACAACAACAACAACAACAACAACAACAACAACAACAACACAGAGACACAAACGCACGCAAACAGAGGCACACGCGCTGCTACCATCGCTCTAACTCGTGTGGATATATGTCTCTTCCGAGCGGTTTCATCTTCACCTTCCCCGTGTCGCGGCTGAGGGACTTGCGCATATCTGCATGAGCACGGCCGGCATCGCACGTGGTGTGAGCGTGGTAAGACAGCTCAAACAGATACGGCAGCAGTGATGGAAGGATAGGCATACCAGCATACATAACCCTCACACACATATACCAGAGCACATTCAAGCGCCACACGAACATAACACACACACAGAGGTACACACACACACACACACACACACACACACACACAGAGGTACACACACACACAGAGGCACAAGCACACACACACAGAGGCACAAGCACACACACACAGAGGCACAAGCACACAAGCCTACACACAGACGTACACACAGACATACACGCTCCCTCTTCCCCTGCCACAGATGTGCGCACGGCCTCTTTACCGTATGCGTCTTCGGGATACTCTCCCGAGTAATAGCCGATGACCTTCCTGTAGATATCGTAACCAAGCCCCTTGTACATGCCAATGGCCACGTCGTTTGACTTGCGCACAAACAAGTCCACAAAGTAGCCCTCGTGCTGCTTGTCGGAGATGTGCTCCAGTTCGCCCATGAGCTGGTTCGCCAGGCCGAGCCGGCGGTACTCCGGAGCAACTGTAAGGGCTGTCACGTGCCCGTGCCAGTCGTCGCCCGTTCCTTCCACCTTGCCCATGACTGCAAGCAACGTTCATGACAGAGAGCAATCCAACGTCAACGTGTGCCCGGGCAAGTAAACACACGTACTGTGTGCTTATTCCTTCGTGCGTGCATATGCGTGTGCGTGCGTGTGTGCATGTACATCTCTCCCTCGCTCTCTCCCCCGTCTATGCACGTACGTATGTGTGCGGGTGAACCCAAGTCATCAAACCATCACACGACTTGACACGACACAATACACGCACACTGCACGCGACACATGCTGAGTACACTGCACGCGAGGCTTACTGTATCCCATGAGGTTTCCGCTGCTTGATTCCGCAACAGTAAAGTACTCTGGCCACTGAGCAAGGTACAGCAAGTAGAAGCTCATGTTGTACGTCTCTGTGAGTGGATCCAAGTTCCTGAAGCGTGGATAAGGATGGACAGCGGCAGGTGTACGTTGGTGAGGCATCAAAGCGTCAGTTGATCCAACCACAACACAGGGTGATGGTGGTGATGCAACGGCCACAAACGCCGCCAAGAGGAATGCACAGCCTCACACTCTCACATGCAAATGGATTCATGCGTGCACATAACATCCCACGTACACTTTGTTGAACTTCCACAGGTCATCACAGGTGAACTCGCGAAGCGTGGTCATGGCTGCAGTTGGGGTGCTGGCTCTTGTGTGCTGGTGATTATTTGTGAATGATTTCTATCAATTTTCAGAACTTCACTGCCAAGAAAGCAGAAGAAGGCGCGCTTGACAAGACAACAGAAGACAACAGCCATGTCTCGTGTCTTGATCTGCCCAGGTGTGTGCCATTGTGTGTGTGTGTGTGTGGAGTGTGTGTGTGTGTAGTGTGACGCACGTGTAACATATGAGTGTGCCCTCGTGGTGCTATGAGCTCGCGATTGATTCATGACGTGCTTGCTTGCGTGCTTGTTGCGTGTTCAGAACAATGGTCAAGCTCGCGCATCATCACGCTGCCCGACCCACGCCATGGTATGTGCAAAAGCATCGCATTCACGCTTGCTCAGCCAAGCTGTTGCTGATCGAGCTTCTGTGAGACAGACGCCTTGTTGTTTCTGCCACTGCCGGTTTTACCGGTGTTGGCTCTGTTCCTGTGGTGAGGGTTGTTGTCTTCCTGCTGCTAGCATTGCCTCTGCTGCGTATTGAGATGATCGCACATGCTTGCACTTGCATGGTGTGCTGCAGGCCAACAAAGACAGTACCTCCTGACACAGCAAGGCATGTACGAGGTTATGCGCTGGAGTGACGATGTGCCAAGATCATGGATTATCGGCGACATGGTTCAAGAAGGTGCGTGTCTGCACGTGCGTAAGTGAGTGTGTAAGAAAGCGAGTGTCAGGCGTCTGACTACGTGTACATGTGCACGTGCGAGTATGTGTACGTGTGTGAATACGTGTGCGCTGGTCAGTCTACTGGATACTGTTGTGTTCTTCCAGGCCTTCGGCCCCATCGATTCTCCTTAAACCGGTTGCCTCACTGTAACCCTCGCTTGTGCTGTGTCTCCTCCACACTCCCGCCGACATGCCGACCAGATGGCTCGTTCTACGTTTGTATGCGCGTGGATCCCCTTTTCCTTGTCATTCCATATTTGACAAAAGCCAAGAAAGATAAGGTGCGCAGCCTCTACAATCAGATTTCACGCACACACGTGCACACATGGACATGCACACAGATACACATGCACACACCCTCGCACCAGCGTGTCGTGCTGACCACATGCAAGCTGTCGTTTCGCTCACGCGTGCTCTTCCCTGTTTGTTAGAACGTGTTTACAACCCTTGACGTCATGTTGCCGTTCCAAGAGCATCCTGGTTTCAGGCACCTGGACACCGATCCCGAGCGACAGGGTGCGTGTGCACGCTCCTCTGTGGTGGCCATGCAAGCCTGTGTAGTCGTCTTTACAGTTGCATGTTTGCCTGCTTGTGTAGGCTTCCCTTGCGTCTCTGTTTCTCTCACCAGTGCTCACCTACACCTCACCACAATACACAACCATCCTTTCTTCTCCACACACACACACACACACACACACACACACACACACACACACACATACGCACACGCACACACGCACACGCACACGCACACACGTTCATTTGCCGCTTGTATTCCCTTGCAGATCTGCATGGGTGCCTTGATCTCGTGTGCGATGTGAAGGGCAGCGGCGATGTTCGCGCCTTCCGTCTGAACGACGAGAAGCTGCTGCGCTGGCTGAAAGCAAAGGTTCGCACTGCTTACAAGCACACACCAAGCACAACGCACACGATTGTTGCGCTTGTACGCTTGCTCATGCATCTGTCCGTTCGTCCTTCCCGGACTGGCTTGACACCCGCACACACGCACATGTACACACACACGCACATGTATACACGCACATGTATACACGCACACACACACACACACGCACATGTACGCACACACACACGTACACACTCTCACACTCACACTCTCTCACACTCTCTCATTCTCTCACACACGCGGCCTCCCTCTGTGTTCAGACGATCATGTTTGCGCGCCAGCTGCCAGACCACCTCACGTCGACCGGCGCCACGTCTGCAAACTTTGTTGCCCGCGCATCAGCAGCAAAGGACATTCCATACGAGCTCAAGCTCAACTTTGCCTTTGGTCAGAACCCGTGCCCCTGTTGTCGCTGCTCGTGAACGTTGTGGGCGGTGCTTGTCGATGTGTGTGTGTGTGTGCTTTTTGTAGTTGATGATAGACTCACTCTATCCGTGTGTGTGTGCGTGTGTGTGCGTGCGTGTGTGTGCGTGTGCGTGCGTGCGTGCGTGTGCGTGCATGTGTGTGTGTGTGTGCGTGTGTGTGTGTGTGTGCGTGCGTGTGTGTGCGTGTGCGTGTACATGTGCGTGCATGTGTGTGTGTGCGTGTGTGTGCGGCGCAGGCGCGGTGTCGCGATATCTGTCGCCGGACCTGGAGGATCTTCTTCGCTCCGAACTCGGGTGCAGTCCCTGTTCGCGTGCAGCAGCGGTGGCGGTGGTGGTGGCAAATAAGATGATGGTGTTGATTGTGAGCTGGCGCCCCTGTGTTGGAAAAAATGCTGACACCTCATGTGCGTTTCCTTCACGCTCCACCACCCGCGCATGCAGCATTCGTACGGAGAGCGATGCAGTCGGCGGTGACGGGAGCGGAGATCAGGACGGGCAGCAGTTGGGAAAGTACGCCGGACTTGAACCTACAGATGACTACAGCAAGACTGCCACCGCTGGTAACCAAGACGACAACCCAGGAAAGGTGCGAGCCGAACCGGCGATGGCCAAGCCAACACCCCCGCCCCAGCTTCTCCCCACGTGATTGTGTCTGTGTGTGCGTGTGTGCGTGTGTGTGTGTCTGTGTGTCTGTGTGTTTGCGTGTGTGTGTGTGTCTGTCTGTCTGTCTCTGTCTGTGTGTGTGTCTGTCTGTCCCACGCTCACTCACTCACTCTCACTCACTCACTCTCACTCACTCTCACTCACTCACTCTCACTCTCACTCACTCACACACTCTCTGTTCTGCGTGTGCTGCTTGACTGCTTGTGAGTACAGAAGGCAAAACTCACTGCTGCACAGAAGCGGCTGGCAAAAGTGGACAAGACAGGCATGAAGTCCATTGCATCCTTCTTTGGTGGCGGTGCAAAGAAGAAGAAGAGCAAGTAGTGGTCGTGTTATGGTGCATCTTGTTCTGCTTTGTCTGCATTGCTTGCTTGCTTGCTTGGAATAAGTGATCATGTGCTGCTGGTGCTGCTGGTGCCTACATGTACCCCATTTCCGCCATCTATTGGTGTGTGGTGGTATGACTTTCCTTGGTGCTGGTGTTCGTTTGCAGCTTGCTCTCGCTCAGTGCCAATGTGTGCACATGCTCCCTTTCGTCTCGCGCGCGTCTTAGTTTGCTACCCAATGATGAACGATATCATGACTGAATTCGTGTGAAAGCAGGCGAAAGCAAGAAACGCAATAAGCCAATGAGGGCCGCGATGCACAACACACACACACACACACACTCTCTCTCTCATGCATGCGCGCATACTCACACACACACACACACACGCACGCACGCACGCACACACACACACACACACACACACACACACACACACACACAAACACGAACACAACGCCATGAACACGAACACGAGACACATCAGCACATGACGGTGAGGCACATGGGGAAGCCGAGGTTCGTCTTGGCGGTGTACTGGTTGCGGAGCTGGTGCGTGTTTGGGAAGTACGACCACGTTGCCCAGTCACCGTTTCCGCCAACAGACACGCCGCCCGCAAGCGTTCCCGTGAGGGCGGCGCTCACCGGGTTCTGGCCGTCCAAGAAGACTGGCATCTCCGTGTTGCGCACGCGCGTGTAGTCGTTCTTGAACTGCTGCATGGGGTTGCTTGGGTCGCACGCCGCAAGCGCCACAGCAGCACCGCCGCCTGTGCCGGCCGCCTGTGCGCACAGCCCCGTTGGGTCGTGCACGAGCGTCCAGTCCGCGCGCAGCGTGAACAGCTGGTCCGTCGTGTTGAAGCCGTTGGTGGCACACGGGCGCGCCCCGAGCTTGTCGCCACGCTTTGGGTTGGCGCACTTGGGTGCGGGCGGCACCCAGTGGCCGGCCTCCGAGATGGAGAGCGCATCATACTCGACCGCAAACCAGCCGTTGGTGCCAATGGCAGCAAACCCGGTGTCCAGGGCCGGCACAGCCACATCGCGGAAGGCAAAGCCGGAGTCAAACATGCCCGAGGCAGAGCTGTTGACGCAGGTGATGGAGATGGTGTGCCAGTGGTCGCGGTGGATGGGGGTTGGCAGCTGGCCCTGCGACACCACATCTGCTGGCTGCCCGTTGCTCTGCTTGGGGCCGCCAATGGAGAGGGTGTAATTGCCACTCGCGTACACGCAGAAGACAATACCGCGGTCCCACATCTGGTCGACGCGTGCGGCAACGCACGCGGCCGGGTCGTGCGCAGTGATGTTGCTGGAGAGGCGCACCTTCACCTGCACAAACACATCCTGCCACTCGCGCATGCCAATCACGGTGACGGGCCCGTTGGAGCCGTGGTCACTCCACCCAATCGGCAGCTCAGGCACCATCTGCCGCAGCACCTTGTTGCCCTGCGCGTCCGCGTGCACTTCAAAGGCGCCAATCTGGTCTGCAAGGTACTTCCCTTCCTGCGACTCGGCCACCTCGTCGAAGGCGTCTGCGTACGGCAGCGGGAACGAGGGGGCAGACGGTGGCGGCGGCCCGTGGCTTCCCTTCTGCGGGCCATCGCGAATGGTCGATATGGTGTACATGGCGCCAACAGGCACGTGCACGCTGAACGTGCCATCAGTGCCCACGTGCACGTCGCTGAGGCGCTTGAAGATGCCCTGCGTCTCGTTCTGGAAGTTGGAGTACCACACTGCCAGCGCAGGCACGCTACTACCGCCCATGCTCGGAGCCAGCTTGAAGGTAACTGTCTCGGCGTGCACGTCAAACGGCGGCAGCGCTGGACGCGTGCAAGGCGCGTGATCGTGGTCGATCTTCACAACCGTGATGGTGAAGTCGCTGCTGTTCGGATCAACAAGCGTCGCCTGCCATGGCGTGCGTGCGTGCATGTGTTGTGTTGTGTTGTGTTGTGCGCGCGCATGTGAGTGTGTGTTTGTGTGAGTGTGCGCACATGTGTTGTGTGTGCGTGCGTGGGTGTGTGTGTGAGTGCATGTGTGTGTGCGTGTGCGTATTGTGTGCGTGTGCGTATTGTGTGCATGTGAATCTCGATTGGAGTCATGCATGCGTTCATGCATGCGTTCATGCATGCGAGCACCTCACCATTCACCACGTAGTGCACGCACAGACGCACACAGGTAAAAGCGCACACGTAGCTGCAAGCACATGAACACAAACGCAGATACAGGCACACACGCACGTAGTATCCGCCGTTTGGCAAGGAGCCCGAGCCATACGAGTCGTTGAGGTAGAGCCAGCCGGGCCGGGTGAACTGGGTGACGTGTGCTGTTGCCCAGACAACGGGGCTGACCCAGTAGTGGCCAGACCACGGCTGCACGGCAGTCATCATGGAGCTGGCGTACCAGTTGGTGCCGTGGTAGTACGCGCCAACCAGGTTCCACATGATGGACGCTGGGGTGGGTTGTGCGTAGGGGAGTGAGTGTATATGTGAGAGAATGCGTGTGTGCGTATGTGTGTGGTATGTGTGTGCGTGTGTGTGTGTGTGCGTATGTGTGTGCGTATGTGTGTGGTATGTGTGTGGTATGTGTGTGCGTATGTGTGTGCGTATGTGTAGAGTGGGCAGTTCAAAATAAATGCACAAACAACGGCACAAAGCAACAGTAGCGGGGGCGCGGGTGCGAGGTGCTTGCCTGTCATGCGGGAGAGGGCCCAGTGCGACGTGATGACGCGCGCCCAGCACGCTGCGCCGTTGAGGTCGTCATATGACGAGGACTCCTCAGACGCCCACAGCGGCTTGTTGAGGGCGTAGCACTGCGAGTAGTCGCTAAAGTCTGACGGGTAGTGCAGGCCAATCACAGACACCGCATCCGCATACGACTTGTCCTTGGCAAGCGTGTTGCAAATGTCTGCACCGCCGTCCTTGGCCACAATCTGCGTGTGCTTGAAGCCTGCGTCGTCGAGGGTGCGGCGCAGTGTCTTCACATATGTCGCGTCGGAGGACCGCTCGTTCCAGATGCCGATGTAGTCCACGTCGAGCCCGTACACGCTCTTCGCCCCTTGCAGCCACTTGGAAATGTAGTCCTGTCGTTGCGGTGTGTTGAGTGTGTGGTTTGTGTGAGTGAGTGACAGTGGGTGAGTATGTGAGTGTGAGTGAGCGAGTGTGATTGAGGGGAGAGAGAGAGACAGAGAGACAGAGAGAGAGAGAGAGAGAGAGACAGACAGACAGAGAGAGAGAGGGGGAGAGAGAGAGAGAGAGAGAGAGAGAGAGAGAGAGAGACAGACAGACAGAGAGAGAGAGAGGGAGAGAGAGAGAGAGAGAGAGAGAGAGAGAGAGAGACAGAGAGACAGAGGCACAGCGAGTTAGTGCCAACGTGTCTGTGTGTATGTGTATGTGTGTGTGTTTGTGTCTGTGTTTGTGTAAAATGTGAACTTGAACAACAGCCTAGACTCAACGAGATGCTGACCAGTGACTTTCACAACATGGGCGCATGCACGCACACACGAGCTCACAGTCGCTTGCACCATCATGCATGTACGGTGGATATACCGCGGTGAGGTTTGGGTAGGAGAAAGGCGAGGAAGTACCGTTGCCAACCCAGCCGGGGTATGCCCATGCCAACCCTACCAAACGACCAGCACCCATCACGAGTACCACCACACAGCATTGGAACTGCATCACAAAAGCTCAACGCACGCGAGCAGAAGTGGCAGAGAGACAGACACCCAGACAGCTGACAGACAGACACGCATACGAACACACGGCTGACAAGTAGGCAACGATATGCGACGCACCATACAACTTGATGTTCGGGTTGCGCTTCTTTGCTTCCGTCATGAGCCACCTGTACGAGAATGTGCAGAACACGAGCGGAAGCAGCACATGCGTGTTCATGTTCGTGTTGTACACGCGAGTGTGTGTGCGTGTTTGTTGAGGAGGTGGCGGGAGTGCAAATACAACGATGCATGGCAACAACACCTGTACTGATGGTATGCTCACCAACGCAAAAGCACAAGACACAAGACGCAAGACACATTTCAGTTGTAGGACAAGTGCGCGAGACAAGGGGAAGGAACCAACCATTCGTAGCCACGCTTGTAATCAAGGTCGTCCTTGGAGTGCATGTGCGAAGGCTCCGTGCCATCTGTGGACTGGGAGTCGCCCCCGATCTCCACCTTGAGCAGATGCAGGCTTGCGCCAAAGTTTGGCTTGAACAGGTAGTCGAGGATTTGTGAGCGCTGGGGCTCCTTGTAGTCAATCAGGAGACGGCTGGTTGCACCACCACCAGAGAGGCCCCCAATGGCATCGAGTGGCTCGCCCACATGTGCTTTGTCCACGATCAGCGTGCTGCCGGACCCTTCCGCACTCGTGGGGTGTGTGCCCACCGTAAGCGTGGCCAGCACCAGCGCCAGCACCAGCGTCTGCGCAGCAGCCACTGGCCCAAACCCAAACAAAGCCACTGCCATCTTGGGTTGACGATTCCGTGCAATTATTTCTGGTTCCTCGCTGTCTCGTTTGGAGAAGAATGGGGATGATGGGTGTGCAGTGGTTTGGTGGTGTTGTGGCGATGCTGCTGGCCGTGGCTTGCGGCGGCGTGCTGGCTCGCAGGAGCGAGATTGACCTGTCCTATCACCCAAAGGTACGTTTGTCTCAACGTGTGTGTGTGTGTGTGTGTGCGTTTGTGTGTTTGTGTGTGTGTGTGTTTGTGGTGTGTGTGTGTTTGTTTGTGTGTTTGTGTGT